CTAAGTTCACTACGTCTCGGTTATGGGGTTGAGCTATTTATGGATTACCATCCTGAATCGTGCTAATAAACTACCCAAATAATTATAGCGTATGCTGTATAATTATAATGAGTTTACAATAAAGTGAATACTTCAATATTGATCTAAAACGTATACAAATAACATTTTCAAGAAAGACCCGTAGGCTATAAATAATTGTTTTAATTTAGTCTGTGGAATAACCATGACTGCGATTACATTAGCTCTTTGGTATACACATTTTAAAAGAAGACCCTGAATGTCAGTGAAAAGTTTAATACCTCATGTAATAAGGGCCTGAATTAATTTGTCCTTTATTTTCTCTACGGCCCTAGATAGGGATGGGCGCCACTGAATACTATAACAATTATTGAAAAAATGTACGATGAGTATATAAGTTGGCTGGGGTATAGCTCTCAATATTATTATTTATTATAAAACAAATAATTCGTTATATTTACGTGTTCACTGTTCATATCACTTGTATGTAAATCAGCAATATACACACATATATTTTATACATGTGTAATAATATTTTATGTAGGTACTATAGCTATGAAATTAATATAATCTCATTAAATAAATAGTCAGATTAAATTCAAATATTGTAATGGAAATATAATATGCACCTAAATTTATTATTTACAAATAAAACATGCACGAAGTATTTACATAATGTAATTAAAAATGCGATAAATGGCCACATATTTAAATATTTGGATTTGTTGTTTTTTCGAAAAACAATGTACCTATTAACTCAAGTTTCAATTCAATAATCATGTATGTTTTAATTATGTATTAAATGTACACAAATATGTACCCTATATTTTTATTCTAGAATAGAAATGTTGGTGATAGCTTGAAGCTACAGTTGACTATCAATAATTCAAACCTTCGATGGTTTATAACTTTTTATAGTTCGAAGTAAATGGTATTTCTCTTGAAAATTTCACGGTAATTCGAAGAAAACAATTTGTTTAAGTAATTTAAAATTAAATTTTGGAAAAACTGGCCACTAACATGTGACAATTTGAAGTTTCATCCGTTCAACGTTCGGTGATTCGAAATATATTCAAAATGTATTTCTTATTATCTTTTCGTTTATAATTTACTGTACAGTTGTGTATAAATTTAACTTAATGTTTTCGATAACTATGAAATTATAACCTTTTAGCATTTTATTTCTTAATAATCTCTTATCGTATTTTAAATCGTCAAAAACCGACTGCAGTTTTTTTTTGTCAGTTTAAAAGTAATATTCTCGTGTCTAATTTTTAAAAAAAATACAAATATTTAACGATTTCGGAAAAAAAAGCAATTGATTGAAGTGGTGAAAAGAGGTGACTACAAAAACGATGTGGCAAAGACATTTGACGTTTTTTAAATTACATTTTATACTATTTTGAAGGACAAAAATAAAATCGTTGTTAGGTAGTACACAAAATAGTAAAGATGAGCATCCAAGATTAGAAGTGTCCATTACAATAGGTTAGGCAATGCAGAGGACAAAATGTGCCCATGTGTGGCCTCTTACTAAAAGAAAAAGCAAAATTATTTACAAAAAAATTGGTTATCTCGTTTTATTTATTAATATTTAATCATTAAATCCATATAATAAAAAAACAAAACATTTTTCATATGTCAGTAATTCAAAATTTTTCATATGTTCCACGAATTTCGAGTTATATAGAGTTGACAGTATAAATTATTTTAAACCGAAAATCGCGTTTATGTCTTCTAAATTATTCTTGTGGATAATCAAGAGTATACAAAAATAAAATAAAATCTTTTCAATGTGTGTGGACTAGTAGTTTTTTCTTTATGTTAACCACAATATATGAACACTAGATCTATTTACTGATTTCTTATAATAATTACATTCCATTTACCTGAGTAACAAACAGTTCTACGATTGACTCATTTTTTCCCCCAATAAGTCAAGTGATATCTGTGTCATTAAAGTGCGATTTAAATTAATAAAAATGTATTGAACGTAATAACAGTTGCTGAATAAAATATCCTATTTAGTAATCACGCAACGATGATGTTGTACCTAAATGTAAATGTATAGTTAGCTCCATCTATATCAGCAAACAGTTTTTGTATAGATCGAACAAATAAGCCGTGATCATCACTGTTTAAAAGTCGCATGTGGCACGATTTAACCATGCTCGATCTATAGGTAGCGTAATCAGCTATGTACAGGAATAAAATTTGGATATAACCAAAAAACAACCAACACAATTAGTTCATCGCTAAAATAATAACGTACCGTGAGTGTGCCTTGTCTAATGCAGTAGTTCTATAATCATAATCTTACGATTGAAATGTTCGCACGTGTGTTTTTTTTTTATTATTATTTATAGTGACGACAACGTCATCCGGTATATTCTGGTAGATGTGTGATGTAAGCTATTATTTCGCACGTCGGGGAGCCGGACGTTACTAAAGATGAGCGACTTCTTTTGTGCACTTCATATGTAATGGTGTTAGAAAGAATATTCAATACATGAGTCATGTGGTACGCGGTATTATTCCGAGGATCCCGAACGTTTTTGATGACAATAAAGAGATAGTGCGATCTTAACAATATATGTGAATGAAAAACACGCACGATCATCCATTAACTTTTACTTTCGGATTATAATGCGATGCCATTTTTTATGGTCATTTTCGAGTCTCCTATTCATACGAAATCGGTGAATCTATGTTTTTTTGGCAAAACAAATGCTTGTCATAAGTCTCGTTAATCTCTTGTATACTATGATGATTGTATATCAAATGGGTTATTTGTTACATATCTCAGTAAATTAGTCGGTAAATTTCAAAAAAAAAACCGGTGGTCATTAGTGAATAATAATTTATAAATAATATATAATTTATATGATCTAATAACTCTTTAAATATTTACAATTGTCATCAAATATTATAATAAATATGAATATAAATATAATAAATATAATTTATTTTAATAATAATTAAATCAGATATTTACATAAGAAAATAACCAATCATCAATATTAGTATCAGCACTGATTTAATCACGAGTTTTTTCTATATTCTGCAACATTTTCTAATTTGTGAATACGTTTTTTAGTTTATTTTGTGTATTTAGGGCTGGCGGTATGGGGAGGGGCTATTAAACCTAATCTATTTATACAGTCAGCAATCATCAACAAATTAAGTTTTTATAATTTTAATTAAGTTTATTATAAGTATGGTAGAATTTTGTTTTAGAAAGTAGTTATCAAATTTAAAATATAATATATTATATTTATAACTTACTCTCCCACCTCCCATCAATATTTTTTAGCGTAGACCTTGTGTGTATTACTCATATTTTTTTTACTCGCTCAGTTAGGGAATTTCCGACATGATATGTGCTTCTTATATGATGGTACATAGTACAGTTTTAGATATATTTATTTTATTTATTTGTGGTACAAATATGTACATTGGAAAATATAGTGATTACAAGTTTTTGCGATCTGTAACAAAAATAATAATGGGTACGTGTCTTGTGATTTTCTTTTATACAGTAAAAATAGAATTCAATAGCATGTTCATATTAATAATTTACTTTTTACTATTGAGATTTGTTTTTTCTTTTCAAATTAAATCCATGAATGATCTTGTAGACGATAATTTATTGATATGTATATTGAACACGTTGGCAGAAATTATTATACCCTTTGGAGAAGTTTTAATTTTTATATTATGCATTCATATATTATTCTATACAGACACAATCATACAACATTATTGTTACCGCAGTCCTTAATAATCGATCTGTGTCTACGAGTCAGATTTTTTATATTTACGACGGCAACTGTTGTACATATATTAATATTTAATACAACCACAATCAAAATATTTAAGCGCCAGCAAATTACGAAAAACCAAATAATAAAACATAAATTACATAGTAAACACTATTAAGATTATTATAACACAATTTATTGTAATGCACACGTATGGTTTTTTCGAACTGATTATTTTAAAATAATCAAATCGATCACGATTAAAAATATATATAGATAGTTTCTATTTATAAGTTTGAAGTTTTGTATTACATTTGAAATATAACGTATAACAACGACTTAAATGTCAATAGGTATATTATCATAATCAAATGTATTGCAATTACAATAGCAAAAAACGAGAAACGTACCTTAGTTGAACTTAGAGAAAAAAATATTGTTGACAAAATTACAAATTATTATTATTTAACCTGCATTTTATAGAGGTAATTAAAAAAATTCTGTCATTCCTACATGTATTATATTCAACTCATTCGTGCATATGCATATTTTAAATTAAATCGATTAAAAGGATTTGATTTAAATTTAATACATTATACATATAAACATACTACTTAAAAAACAATTTAATAAATATTAAAAAATAATAATAAATCATGTATTACAAGGAAAATGTTGGACGATACATTTTAGTTTCTCATAAATATGTCAACTGTTATGGTGAACATAATTAAAATGACATAATAAAAACTCGTTTCCAGTGAACTCATTGTAGTAACTAGTATAAAATAATATTAAAATCTAAATAGGTCTTAATATGAGTGTTCAGAAAAATTGTACTAATAATGTTACATTAAAATATAATGTGAAATGGCTTAATGCTCAAAATAAATATCAACACAAAATTATAACAAGAAAAATAATAAATGCAAAGAGTTCTTTTTATGTTGATGGCCAAATGTTCGATTGAATTTAATTTGAAAACATACAATACAAATTCATTAATATATCAGCTACTGTTAACGACATAATTATTTTACAGCAGCAATAAAAACGCTATATGATTTATGAACCGTTTACGTATTCATAACGGTCGTTTAAATAAATTTTAACAAATTAAATGAAATTAATATTAAAATAAAAAAATAAAATAAAAAATTCTAAAATAAATTCAAAACAATAAAATTTATTGAAAATTGCATATATAATTTTTTTTTACAGTATGGATATTTGACCAAGTTCGGTTACTTGCCAGAATCAGATTTAGCAACAGGAAATTTACAGACCGTCGATCAACTACATGATGCTTTACGGACATTACAGGTAATACAAATGTGTTCAGAATACCAATAAACCGCATTAGGTTATGGAATGTATTGAGCAATTGAATGGATTAAATGACTTCGTTGTACATCCACCCAGTAGCATAACACTGAGAATGAGAATGAGGCTGAGCACTAAAGGGTAATAACCCTGGTAAAAATGTAGTTAATGTAATGTATTTTGTTAAGTAAAATATCCAATAGGTACCTACATTTCATAAATATAATATAGCCAATACTAATGCATAGAACAAGTACTTATAAGTACATCCGTAATGAATGTTAACAAAGATACTACTTAATCTTAACGTTAACCATAGGTATTCATTTATAACGAAGTATATTCATATTAATACTAATGTATTGGTTTGGAACTTTCTTTTTTTTCTTGTAAAAGCTATAACAATATATTTATGATAATATATGTCATTCATCTAAACAAAACGTGTTATTTAAAAACTCTACCAATTAAAATATTATACTATTTACTTAAATAAATAGTAGATTTATTAATATAATTGTATACGAGTTTAATATAAATAATACAAATCAATCATCAATACATTTTACTGTGTTGTTACGTAGTCCAGCGATTCTAACATTTTTAAAATTTGGCCCTCTTGATTTAAAGGAAAAATTTTTATTGACCATTTAAAATCAATGGTGAAAATATATTTTCATCAAAACCATTAAAATAATAGAGAATATTCATTATTTACTACATATATCTTATACATAAAATTCTTCTATCATAGAGTTTGTTATTGAACTTCTCTGAAACGGCTTGACCGATTTTCATGAAATTTTGTGTGTATATTTGGTAGAGTTGAGAATAGCTCCTAAACTATTTTTCGGACCCCTAGAAGTTAAGGGTGGCCTACCCCAAACATATAAATTGTATATCTATAATATAGACGGAATCATTGGCTTAATATCCATGCAACTGCAAATTGTAAATATCACACATTCTTATTGAATCTTATGTGTGTAAAATTCTCCAGCACAGTATTTGTTATTAAGTAATAATATTTATATAAAAAAAAAAAAATGTTCTATTTTTTAAATAATGTCAGCAAGACACAAAGGGGCCAATTTGTGCTCTCGAACAAATGCAATTATAAACATGAGATTTAGAAGAGAGTAAAGAACAGATGAACAAATCCAATCTGAGCGAAGTCAATCACACCGGTTCATAGTGAACACACGCAGAGCACATGATCAATAGCGTCAACAAGTACATTGAGCATTTATATCTCATTCATTAATTCGTCTGGCATTCAACTATGAGCCAGATATTGAATATTACGTTCATTCGAAAGTGAAGATTGGTGCTATGGACAATGAATGTCCCAATTGTCATGCGCTTAAATTCCCAAATTTGCCAGTCGGGATATGTTGGGCATCAGGAAAAGTGCAACTACCTGTAAATTAAATACCACCAGAACCATTGAAAGGCATACTTATGATATAGTATATCTAATTTAGGATCTAGATTCAAACCGGTTCCTGAAGTCCATACGCAAATTTAATTCATGCTTTCAAATTACTTTTTTCGGATCATCACAAATAGTTAAGGATTACTTCATGTACACATTTTAATTTGGTTAATCGACGAAATACGTCCTGAAGAAATCGATAGTATTATTTCTACGGACATTTCTGATCTACCTACTGTTTGACATTTTTACAACGAACATGATTCATGGCCCCATGTGGTAATCTAAATCGTTCAGTCTTACATGACAGATGGAATATGTACAAACCGTTTTCCGAAAGATTTCACTAACGATATAATCACAAATGTCGACGGTTATCCAATACATCGTCGAACAAATATCGATAATAGTGGACAATCATTTAAAAAAAATATTAATAACGGAGACATTGACATTGACAATCATATGCATTGAATCTACAAAAAACTATACTCACTAAATTTTTTTCGAATTGTGTAATCATGCGAATTCTTTTGGTGCCTTTACACAAACACAATTCTACTTCAAAGTAACACGCTATTTCACATAAGTTCAAGCGAAAAAATGGATGCCTCACAAACAAGGAATACCAATTGATGCGTGGACAGGTTAATTCAAATCAAAAACTTTAGGCCGAATATAAACAGTCAGTTTAAGGCAGATTAAGTGCTTCTATTTGCAATTATTATTGGTTAATTTCACCGGCCCATTGTCATTTCAAGATATATGCAAAGTGAATGGACAATAGTATTCGACGGTTAAAGATGCGTTCCTGGCATATAAAGTAAAAAAATAAATGGCTGGCGTTTTGTAATTTTTATAGGCTGTCATCGTCCATAGGGCTCCTTCCATTTTCAATCATAGATACCATCCCAACATACTTACAATAAGTTAGTTTTTCTTTAGTCCTAAAAATATATAGTAAAAAAACTAGAAATATATGGCAAAACCACGTTTACTTGGTCAGCTAATATATATATATGTATATATATTTTTTTTATAGAATTAAATATTTTACATGCTTTATGGTCGTATATTTTTTAATATACTAGACAATCATGTATTTTATTAGTGTAATATTAAATTTATCATGATAATATATATATATATTATATAAACATAAACATTTTTGTCAACCCATAGACGTATGGAAACATCCCAGTTACCGGAAAACTGGACGCGGAAACTAAAGAGCTGATGCGAAAACCTAGATGCGGTGTTCCCGATGTCACTCCACCTGGAAGACATCGGAACAAACGTTACACTTTGCACGGTCAGAAATGGCAACACGTGAATCTAACATGGAGGTAAGTAATTTCAATTATTAGTTCAAGAAGACTGCTGTAAAACTGCAGTCATCATTATTATGTGTATATATATTGATTATCGATTTAACAAAACTAATGATACAATATTTATCGTACTTAGAGAAATATATAAACATGAATAATATTATTAGTACACCATGACTTAAACTAGTGTCAGACTCGACCAATAATTAATTTATCAAAGTATAGGTAAATCCTAATTTTCCGACAAGAATTTAAAAATAATAATAACTGTGTTGTATTAAAATAATAAATTAAATAGTTTTATATTACAAAATTAGGTAGATACTATAAACTATTAATCATGTAGTACTCGCATTTGCACAAGTTCAGATTCTTTATAATCTTTTTTTTATACTAGAATCCGACTATCTGTTATTAGATCTTCAGCAACGATAAGAAACTATTAGTACTGTTTTATAATGTAACTTAATTAAAGTTGTAATAAACCAAAAAATATTCCAAATGTTTATTTGAAGACTTGGATTTCGATTGTAAATGGTACGCTTCGTATTAAATTCAGCACCATAATTAGGGCAGAAAGAAGTGCCGCAGAAAGTCGTTCCTGGTAGCATATTTTAAGAGGGAAGGTGATTTTTATACTTCTAATTTGTTAGTGAAAACATTTTTTTTTTTTTGAGGGAAGGGGTGGGGTGACAAATTCTGATTCGATCCTCACTAAGATGTTTGATTATAAGAATGTCAAATAGTTTATACCATCTTATTAGTTTATACAATCTACATGGATAAAAGAAATATGTATTACAATTCGTTTTCGCATTATTTCGTGTAAAAAAATGTTATGATTTCATGTTGGTTAACTTTCATCAGTAGTTAGTTTCGATAATTTACATTTAATTTGATCTAAGCATAAAATTCGTATTAAGTCTTGTACAATTTACTAATATGAACTACATTGAATGTTATCCTTCGTAAGCCAATTCAAAAAATATTATTTCCGTATTATAATGCTAGCGCTATCTATTGGTGGTTAAATAACAATTGTGCTTAGCACCTAGGTGTCACGATCGTCGTTTATTATTATACAAACAAGTTACTAGATGGCGTACCATATTCCGTAAAATAATATACCAAAATGAATGTTCGAATGTCGACAATAACGTTTACGTTTAGGGTAGTAAAATCGTTACATGTCTTTTAGGGAGATTTTGTACTCAATGTTTGGTCGGCTATATTTTATAAAACGTTCACTTGCGATGACATTTTATCCAGCATAATTATTATTCAACGATTATACCTTGTCGACATTGCCTTCAACCCGTAGATTGAAAATGTCTTTGACGTAATACACAATTCGATGTGTATTAAATAGTGAATATATAATCCGAGTGGCGACAAGGATTCTCAGTGGCCTGTTTCTAGAGTGGCCGAACCTTTAAAAACTGTGCAGGCTCGGGCTAGCTCGATTTTTATTTTGCCGATTAGTTTTTCTTTTCTTTATTTCACATATAAAGTGTAAATCAATTTGAATACATCGGAAAATGTCATGAGTCAAAGTGACATGTCCATATCATGAAAATACGTCTGAGGTTCATAGATAGATAATCCAAAAATTCTCTCCCCCTTAGTACGCTCGACCCATATCTTCCCTATATGATTTTATATGTATAATAATACTGAGCGAACAAAACAATGGCCTATCTAAATACTTTGTAATGGACCCAAAATTGTATTTTTTTAAACTTCTATCTTTTCTTTTGCAATAACAGACTTCGGACTTGACAAAATTCCACAAAAACTAAAACTAATCAAAGACTTTATGAACACAATTATAGTAATTTGGTTATAATGTATAGTATGGACACATATACAAATGTATTCTCTTCTTGTTAATAATTAACTCGTATTATTGTAATGGAACATTCGAATTTCATCATAAACAAAAATTTGTTATAATTATAATTCAACACTGGCGTGATTCTTTATAACTTTTTACACATTATTATAATTATATTCAACGTTGCAGTATAATTCTTCACTTAAATTATCGGTGTACCTATAGTTTTTTTTAATATCAATTCATACAAAAATATCGTTTTATCTGTAGGATCTGTAACCGGTGACGATGTTAAAAATATAATTTCAAACTTTAATAATAGTATTTCAGATGATAATGAATACGTGTTCTCACTAATTTGATAGGTACTTCACGCATACAATTTTATATTTGAGACTTCAAACGAGCAATATTATCTACGAGTATTTATCAAACATGTTATTATCTTTTAATCTTGGGTAAGTAACAATTTTTTTTCAAAAAGGACTACTCATCTCTCAACTCAAAAGGACGACCGTTCGCCGTCATCTTCGAATAAGTCACGTTGTTCGTATATCACTCGATCGGTATATTATAGGCATAGAGATTATTGTAAATACATCAGCAGACAAACAATAATCTAATCCCGAGTTTCCTCTCTCAAGCATCATCGATCTAACGACCCACACAATCCACCACACCACTGAAGTTAAATGTATTGGAAGGGATGGAAACTGGCACATATTGTTTTATAGGCTCATGCTAAACCGACGGTATTCGATGTTATGTGTAGACCTATATGTATATATTTATAGACGTTCCAGATGCGAGAGGTTAGCCGCTTGGGTCTAAGGGTTCAACATATAGGACGATGCCAAAGAAGGCTCATATTACCGAAAAATACCGACCTATCCGTACTGTGTAACAGCTTCAGTATATATATAATAATATACATACATATATACGTATATATTAAGATTGAAAACCCTTCACCAGATTTGCGATATTCGTTGTTTTTAAGGTAAGCTGAAACAAGCTGAAAAATAATCTCGGAAAGAAAAAGAAATCATTGAAATAAACATTTTTTTATATTATTATTTTGTCCATATTATAAAACATTTTATCATATTTACGAAGGTTTTTAAATTCTAAACTTAATAATTAAGAAGTAGAGAAATTTTTTCACATTTATAACGAAAAATTAATTTTATTTAACGTTATACTTTATGTGTTTTATTTTGATTCAGTTTCCTCTAATGAAACCAATGTTAATATAATTAACTTTCACGATCATAATTTATTTATATTTAAATTAATTATCCATAAGTTAAGTACCTAGTTAAATAGTAACATTGTATAGTCAGTGGCGTGATAAACGATATTTTCCTAATGCAATAGCTAGAAACGTATGAAGAGGCTGGGTATCCCTAGGCTCGTGTATTTATGAACATATTTTATTTAAATAATGCAATTAATTGGCTAATTGCATGCATTGAAAAATAATTTAATATTCACAAATGGTAAATAGGTTAGGTATTTGAAAGCCCTATAGATTTAGGAATTTTTTAGGATATTAAGAAAATCTTTCAGATAGTATAATTGAAGATATATATGTTATGTAGTATGGGGAGGGGGAGGGGAAAGTTATTATTTAAATACTTTGCTTAAGATTTGAAATATGCTTGCCACGCCCCTGTGTATAGTATATAGTTATATAAGTATAATCGTAAACTATTAGTCTTAACTATTAACATTTATTTATGCGACAGGATTTAGCCGTTTCTGAAAACCAATTCTACTAAATTAGTTCCAACTAAGTTTTTTTAAAGTTCAATAAATTTAGGTTTGTTTTGATTACATGAAGAAAAAAAATTGTTGAAAAGACAAAAAAAATGTGGGGTTCAAAATGTAAATAGTATTTTTGAGTATTATACTATTTCATTACTTGTACTTGTTAACAACTTGAACAGGAAAAGACCTCGCGGCAGACCGAAGCAGCGTTGGATAGATGTAGTCAAAAGAGATATCCAGGAGTTAAGACCAGATTGGCATGGAGACCTAATGCATGCATATAATAGAGAAGAGTGGAAGAATTTGATATTGGCAGCAAAGGGCCTAAATGGCCTATAATGCTATAAAAAAAAAAAAAAAAAATACTATTTCATTGAATTTACTTATTTTCTATTAATTTATGGGGACCGGTCAAATGCAACTTATAACGCAATTAATTAAGTTCCCGACACAATACGCACGCGTTCTGAAGCGATCAATTATTTTCTGTGCCGTCAGTCAATTGTATTACATAATCATCTTCCTTCTTTGGACGTACCTCACTGGAAGTAACGCCCACTTATGTCTTACTCAAGTTGCTTTAAATTGAGAACACAAAGAATTGTAGCCGAATTGAAATTGTAAATTGTTGTTAAACTTATACGTTATAGGAGTTAAAAACATGTGCAAAGCACAATATTATTTTCATTTTATTTATTTCAGAGATATAAATGAGCATGTACTCAAAGGACTAAATTATCGACAAAAACTTTTAAAAACATGCATAGTTTATCAATATAATATTATAGGCTATTCGAATTATGAACAAGAGTTGATAAAAACCCATCGCGATTTTGTGTAGATTAAAGTCTTATTTTGACATTATTAATTTGTTCCTGCCAAAATGTAATAATTTTGAATTAAAGCCATAATTGGGTGGCTCTATTCGTTTGTATAAAAACACAAAATATAGGCATACGTCGTAAAACAAAATTAATTCTATCGTCTCATAATCTACATGGTTGTTTACATATGGTATACGACCTTTTACCGCGATCGTATATGTCCGCATCCCATATTACATTTAATCACTATTTAGAAGGAATCCCTAACGTTTGCTATTTTTGACCCCACTATTTTATTAATAAGACGTTAAATCATAGTAATAAATTAATCTGTTTAGTTTGTATGTAAATATTTATTTTAACCGAAGAATCGAGCGTTTTCATTAAGGTCCTAACGTATTTTTCCTTATAATTTTCTTTATCCGAAAACATTTATATACGTTTTATACAAAATATAAATATTATATCATGTAAACACCACTCGTTTTCATAAAATGATATTATGTAACGTTAAAATTAAGGATAAAGGCGAACATTGACGATGGACCCTTAACGATCGACTATACGTGGTAATACTTATAATATAA